CTTGCTCGTTTGCCACCTTATGTTATAAAAAAAGCAACAGTTATGCGATTGTTTAGTCGAAGGTGTGCGTTGATAGATATGCTTTTTTTTAATTAAGTCGCAATTCAGACATACACAAATTATAAATGCGACAGTTTAGATGGATGTTTGTTAGAGTTTGTAGCCTAAACTGCTGAACGGATTTCGATGAAATTTGGTATAGATGTAGAGGATAGTCTGGAAGAACACATAGGCTACTTTTATTCCTCCTACATCTATACCAAATTTCATCGAAATCCATTCAGCAGTTTAGGCTACAAACTAACAAACATCCATCTAAACTTTCACATTTATAATATTAGCTACATTTATGGCCGCGACGTCTGTTAGGAGTGAATTTAGTCGAAAAGCGGGCGCACGTCTTTGACTTAATAATCGCACAACTAATGTGATTGTCAATTGACTCCCAGCCAACTGTTTTGGACAACTAATTGAGTAGTGTGTCCATCTATACTATTATAATAAAGCGTAAACACACACTTCTTTGTTGCCTAACATGTCAGCAATTACACCATATTTTTGAATAATTCTTTTTTTAATAAAGCCTTACGTCACGCTTTCGGCTAGATATTTTAACACCATTAAACTTAGGGGGTAAATATTTTGGATAGAAACTAATGTGGGAAAGAGACCATAAGTTGCTGCCATCAAGGAAGCAAGGTTGTCATCATGTCATGTCATTTTGACTTTTGAAATTGATAATATGATAAATGTAAACAATAAAATAAAATTTTCATAATTTCATGCGGATGAAGCAAGGGAACAGCTGGTATGGCTAAGAATCGAGACTGAACAGGTGTGCGATAGTTTGGTCAAATTGTATCAATTTGTACCTTTTGGAAGAATATATTCTGAATACTAATTAATCTTTTCTTGAATGCATCAATAGTTAATTACCCTTTTTCTCTATAGAAATGTTACGTAAAGAATGTGTTTGGCACATGAAATAGAACAAATTGCTGGTTGCCACGTGCCAACTTAAATACCCTTCATTTTGTCACACGTATGTGACTTTTGAATGAATAGACATGACATAGAATAAATTAATTAATGTAGTTACTTGAATTAGTAATCAATTCTCTTGTAAATGGATTTCTAGCATTTTCTAAATGTAATATTATAAATGCGAAAGTTTAGATGGATGTTTGTTAGAGTTTGTAGCCTAAATGGTTGAACGGATCTCGATGAAATTTGGTATAGATGTAGAGGATAGTCTGAAAGAACACATAGGCTGCTTACTTTTGTTTTACGTTAATACATGTTTCCTTCTTTTTTGTATAAGGAAAGGAAGAATTGGTTTTGGCGGGAAATATAACGCACATGTATGGGAAGAACCTTTTTCTGTGCATCTCCTCTGTTTGTTAAAGAACAACGTATCTGCAAATATAGATCGATTCGCTATATTGGCGAATTTTGGTTGCCTCTTACTCGTTTGTCTTCTATACTAATATTATAAAGAGAAAAGATTTTTGTATGTATTGAAATAACTCAAAAACTACTGGGACAAATTGAAAAATTTTTTCACCATTAGAAAGGTAATTTATCTGTGAGTAACAAAGGCTATATTTTTTTTCACGCGGGCGAAGTCGCGTGCAAAGCTATACTATAAAAGTATTTGAATGGTTATTAAGAAATTTATTTAAATTAGTAAATGAATAAAGTCGGGGCGTATTACTTGTTATATGTCTAAAACATATTAAAAGAGCGGGCTCATAGCTTTACTAAACAATAGCACAACTGTGGTGCGATTGTCGGTTGTTTCGCAATAGGGAATATGCATGTATTTTTTTTTAAACGATTCTACTTGTTATAAAATAACCAGACAAAAAATTTGACGCGAAAATATTCAACCATTGAGCTAAAAATAATAAAATGAAATTACGACCATTTTCGAGCGACTAAAACGCGACCGGAGTTGTCATGAGACATTTGACGTCAATTGTCGGGAATTTGAAAAAAGACTTTTTAATTATTAAATTTTGCCACTAAATCACATTATTTTTAAAAAAATCTTTGCAGGACTGTTTTTATAGTAATAAAGTATACTTAAAAAAAGTTTGGCACAATTTGGCGTCATATGCATATTGCCTATTAGCCGAGTAGTGTACCTCCATATAAGCTAGTTATCAAAGCGAGACTAAACAGTCGTGCGACAGTTTAGTCCAAGGTGTCCTCTAAAGATTTTTTAACAATTCCCAGAACAAGCTCGGATAAGTTAAAGAGCTGACAATAGCCAGTTAAAAATAATTGCCAATGGGATGGGGAGAGTTTCATTATACTACCACCGCCCACCCGCTACCCCCATAAGGGCTGACATACACGGACTTTATAGAGTAGTTTTAACGTCAGTACTATCGGGGAATCTGTCGGTGATCGAGTAACAATTGTTTGGACGTAAAGTAGGCATTATAATAAAAAAACATGCATGAAAAATTGTAACAGATAACAAAAGGGGGAGGGTCAGCTTAACCGATATTGGTTGGCATTCAGTGTCGAGCTGGTTTTCAGCCACAATATAGAGAGGAAAGATTTTTATTTTTGGATTTGTATGTATTGTAATAACTCAAAAACTACTGGGACAATTTCAAAGATTCTTACACTATTAAAAAGCTATGTTAGCTGTGAATAACATAGGCTATATTTAGCTGTTGCAGACGAAGTCGCGTGCAACTGCTCGTAATGAACATAATGTAACATTTAAATGTGTTTCTATCAAAATACTAATTATTAGTACACGAGTTATTAATTTTTATTATCTTGTAGTTTGCGCAACACTTTTCACAGATAGGTTATTTACAAGAAAAGGAGTAAATTGAAATGAACAAGGCATTTTTGTAATTGGACCACTGAGAAAGTCGCTGACTGTACTTTATCCCCTTACTGTCATCACTAACGCTTGAACACTACCACTGTCTCTGTTTTGACAAAATATAATGTAAGGGATCATAGTTTGTGTTAACACAAATCACACGAGAGGGTCTAGCACGTAAATTTTCGTAAAAGTGTTCGTAACGTTTGATAATATTTGTTTGAGATTTAACTGTGTAAGTCGGATGCGGATGCTCAAATCTAATTTAAATTCTGTCAATACATTCTTGCAAATTTTCGTGCTAGACCCTCAGTTTATATGCTTACTATTGACAAAATTGTATTATATTTGGACATCCGCAATGCGCATACACAGTTACATCTCATACCAATAATATTACGAATACTTGGTTGTAAATTTTCGTGTTAACCCTCAGTCCATAATACTATTATAATAAAGCCTAAACACACACTTCTTTGTTGCCTAAAAGGTCAGCAATTACAGCATATTTTTGAATAATTCTTGTTTCAATAAAAAGCCCTACACTTACGTCACGCTTTAGGCTATATATTTTCATGCCAATAAACTTAGGGGGTAAATATTTTGGATAAAAACACTAACGTGGGAAAGAGACCATAACTTGCTGCCAACATCAAGGAAGCAAGATTGCCAATTTTTGTCATGTTATGTCATTTTGACATTTGCAATTGACAATTTGACACATGTAAACAATAAAATAATTTTATGCTGATGAAGCCACACGGGGTCAGCTAGTAAGTTCATAACGTTGTTGTAAATGGGTATTCCGTTTTCTTTAGTCCGTGTACAGCTAGCCTTACCCGTCTGTATCCTGTCTATTGTTTTATTACTGTATTTTTTAAAAGATCACAAAGAAAAGTTCCTCGTTGTATATTTAAAACGCAAACTAAGGTTGTGTTTGTCACTAATTGTCTATGTGTACAATCTTGAAAAGGAACTGAAAGTTTTATGAACAGAGACATTAAAAGCCTTAATTGAAATGCAATATGCATAAAGAAAGGCTTTATGTGGGTTTAAGCCAATTTTCATGTTGAAAACCTATGTATCTTTCAGTTCGTTTCGTAGTTTAGATTTTCTCTAACAAAATAGAGACCGTAAACAGTTTGACGGTACATGTATGTTATCTATACTATTATAATAAAGCGTAAACATACACTTCTTTGTTGCAAGATGTGAGCAATTACAGCATATTTTTGAATGTTTTTTTTTTAATAAAAAGCTCTTCACTTACGTCACGCTTTAGGCTATATATTTTCACGTCAAACTTAGGGGTAAACATTTTGGATAAAAACCCTAATGTGGGAAAGAGACCATAAGTTGCCAACATCAAGGGAAGCAAGGTTGTCATCATGTCATGTCATTTTGACATTTGTAATTGATAATTTGACAAATGTAAACAATAAAATAAAATTTTCACAATTTTATGCGTATGAAGTCGCATGGAAACAGCTAGTAATAAATGTCAAAAATATATACTTTCTAGGTGTATTCATTCTTTATTTTTA